TCCTCCATTGTATCTCACTGTCTGCAGGGATGGCTGCTCTTGGTTTGGGGTGTTGACCTCGTTTTTGTCCTGATTTGCCCTTGACTGTTTTTGGTCGTGTTGATTAAGCCTCATCGGACTCGATTTGATTTGAAATCTGGCAATTGATTCGAGTTTGATTTCATATTTTATTCCATTTTATTGAATTAATGTGGTCGAGTCGAGGCGAGCCCGAGTTAGCTCGAATTGAGTCGAATTAGGTTTGAGTCGAATCTGATTTTAGCTCAACCGGTTTAATTTATTTCCAGTTAAAGTCTAAGTTACTTTCTCACTGTTGGAATCTTGTCCCTAAATCAAGTAATAACTTCGACGGTCCCGATTTCGTCAAAGCCCTAACCGCAATTCGACTCCTTTTCCTGGGTTCGGCCGGCCCTAGATGGGGCATAGACGCTCTCACTCTCGAGCCCTCCCTCTCTCACTCTTTCTCTCGCTCCCAGTCCCCTCCCGTTCGTGAATCAGAGAAGAGGCCGAAGCCCCTCCTTCGGTCCGTCTCCCCCTTGTTCGCAGAGCTCGACTCCAGCTCCTTCCCTCTCTCGTGTGGCTGACCCGAGCGGAGCCCCTCTAACCCGACGAGCTCCCGATGTCGCACGTCTGGACCAAGCCCGTTGCCTCCCTGATTTCTCCATTCGCACGGCCCAGCCACTGCCACTCCTCCCTTGGCCGAACCCGATGCTGCCCTAGCCGAGGCGGTGGCCTTGCTCCCGTCCGACCTCCAGGTGTGCGAAACCCTCAGGACCGACCCCCTTTCTCTCGCTGCTTCGCGAATCTCAGACGAACCTGAACTCCCTGTTCCGCCTCTCCCACCTGTGGCCGAGCCAAGGCAGCACAAGCTTGTGCACGGTTTGCTCTAGCTAGGCTTCCACTTCTTTCTTTACAGCAGGTATTTCTTCTTTCTTTACAGCAGGTATTTCCCCTTCTCTTCCTTCTTCCCCTTGAACTTCTTTTTCTACCCTTGTTCCCATTGTTTCCTCTCATTTTTAGTTCTAAATCCTGTGATTGATTTAGTGGGTGACAAGTTATATCTATGCAAAGTTTATTTTGGCTAAAACTGAAACTGTGAGTAGAATTTTTTATGGAATATTTTTCACTGCAGATCTAGTCTTTGTGCTCTTAATGAATGGATTCATTCTTCCAGTCAAATGTCATGGTAGTTTGTGATGATCACGATTGACTTTGTTACAATGTGTTGACCTGTGTTGCTTGAAAGTATGTGTTTGGTGGGAAAATTTATACTTGATTCATGTTAAGTGACTTGAAGCTTTGGGTGTGAACGTGGTGGGGGCTGTAGGAAGATATTTGGCCCTTTATCAAGATATGCATATGAACCGTTTGTGATAATGTCTCTTGGAGGAGGTACATGTTTGGATATAAAGATAGTGGAGGCTTGTTATATTTTTATTCGATACATGATAAATCGTGTGAAAAGTTTATCCTATTAGAATGTATACATTTCACTTGTCCTATGTGGTGACGAACATGTTATGTCTTGAGAATATATCTTCATGCCATAATGATTGTTGACGAGGATTGTTATCATAAATTCTTGTATAAACCTTTCATTAAAAAAAAAAGTTGTGTGATGTAGAGATTGCTAGTCATGCTAATGAGCTCCCATGTGCTTCGTACCCTAGCTGTGATTCATGTGTTTATAATATTCTGATGGAAATAAGTTTGTTTGTTGGAGAGGTTTACACAAGCAAATGCTCTGTATGCACTGGTCCTTTCATACCTTACACTTGCATGAAAAGAAATTCCTATTTGGTGGTGCTCTTGAGAATCCCTATCGTGAGCATTGAGAACATTAATGTTGGTTGCATATAGCTTTGGAGAATTGTGCTTGAAAGAATTAATGGGTTGGCTTTTGAACCCCTGGAGGTGATTGAGGTTGTGCTTGTCTATTATTCTTGCTGAATGCTGGAATTTGTGAATCATGTCATAAGGATCTGCTTTATAATAAGAATCCATTGTCTAAATTTTCATATATGCCTCAATTTGAAGACGGTTGTTAAAATCACTCTTCTCGTGCAAGTTGTAGGGACTGGTGAAATGTTCTTTTTGCTGAAACTATCTTTGATATCCTTAGAGTTTGGTACGTCAATTTGTATAAATATAATAGAAACTATTTGGTTGATGTTTACTTCAATAAAAGTAGTATTTAAGGGAATATAAGCAAAAACCTGCACCTTTTTTTTTATTTACATATATAAATCCGAACATGATGGTTGCTTCATATGGCACTTCTTCTTCTTCTTTCATTCATCGCTTGTGGGTTCAATAAGGTGTCACGGTTGAGAAAGCTATTGCATAAATCATGGATATTCTTGTGCAGATTGTTTAGTTGAGTTCAATTAAGTGGGTATTTGAACCATGTCTTTCATAATTTGTTCTATGTAATTTTGTAAGCATTGTACGTTAAATGTTTGATGAAATATCCTGAACGGAAAGTATAAATATTTGCTTGCATTGATGCCTTTTGTAAGGAGCTTGTTCTTATGGAGATTTTTCTCAATGTGTTGATTAGAGTCTTTTTCGACAAAATCTGATAATGAGCTTGTTTATTCGATATGATGTGGGGAGGGTTTATCATTCTTTGTCATAAATGATTCCTTGCCATCTTGTAAATGAAATTCTTTCTATTTCATAAATATTTCACTTGTGAGATCAAACCAGGTAAGTTTGTAGATCATGAATGTATTCTATGGTAAAGTTTATATGGTTTAAAGCTATGCTCTCAAAAAAAAAAATCTGTGGAAGATTATGTTTATGGATGGGTTGTATTATACTGTGTAGTTTAAACCTCATGTACAGAATACAAGAAATAATAATATTCTTTAACGAGGGCATGCCAGGCGTTTGTAGTAGTACTTAATAGGAAAAGATAAGTGTGTAGACAAAGTATGCATTGATTTACATTGGGTGGAAATGGACTCTTTGTACATGAAATTGATGCTCATTATGGTTAGAATCATGTGGTAAATAACAGTTTTTTTTTTTATGTGGAAATTTTGAAAGACTATAAGAGGTTACATTATTCTTTGGCAAAATATGTATGCGAGGTGTATGTGTTAATGCTTGTTGAGGGCTGGTTTCATAGTCTTATTTTGTCTCTCAAATTGTATGAAGTACAATTGATTGAGAATATGCCTGTTTTTTTTGAAAAGAAAGAGTTGTTGGTGCTTTTGAAATTATATTGGCTCTATAATTTGTGTCGAAGGATGGTTTATATTTTGTTGCATACTACATTCACATATGAGAAGATTTCAATAAACTTTCCACACACCGGTGGCATGAACTGTTAATTTGGAAAGGAGAAGTTATGACCGTTCACAAGCCTTTTATAAAGTATCTTTAGGGAAATGGTTGGAAAATTTTGCTTTCTTTAGGAAATACTTGGTAATAAAAGATTTTTGTAGATGACTTTATAGTTAGGATTTGTACGAATTATTTTATATCGAGAAGTTTTGTTGAATGTTTGGTGAATTGTTTTGAGACGGGGTTTTATAGCGTGTTTTGTGAATGTTTCTCAAATGGAGGGCTCCTTAGTGCCCATTTATTTGAGGAACTCTCACAAACTACCCCACACCAAATTAAAAAAAAGGCACTTGATTGTAGGTCTTTTTGTAGATTTTGGGGCTAGTGCAAGGAGAGATTTTGGTAGATGACTTTTGTAGAATTTTGTGTAGTGCTTTGTTTAGAAGTTTTCATAGGGTGTTTTGAGATTTCTATTTTGGTGATTTGCTTAGTGTAGAAGAGTCCCTTAGTAGTTTTTCTTAGAACGAGCTAGTGGTTAGTGTATGAATTATCTTTCTATTAATTCACATTGGTTTCTAAGAGATAAATTTTGGGGTTTTGGGAAGCCTTAGTAGTAGCTTTATGTTAGAGGGATTTTGTGTCTTGTTGGAGCAAAATGATCCTTGTTTGTTTGAACTGTCTTTCTCTCATTAGTGTTTACTTATAGAATATAATGTTGGAAGAATGTGGTAAATATAAATTTGGAAGAGTGTGATGGGTAGAAAGAAGTGTTGTTTTAGGTCTAGTTTGTTTTCTTTCTGGAACTTGAGCTTCTCTTATTTGCTTTGAGTTTGGTAGGGAATGATTTGGTCAGTCGTTTTAAATGTATCAAGTGCCTTATTTGGACTGTGGGGACAGCAAAGGGCATTGTAAATGTTGCTTTAGGGTACACTTGACTTCATAGAAGTGTGTCCAAAACAACAATGCTTACATTCCTTTTATTTCTGATTTTCATTTTTTTTTTCATTTCACTGCTTCGCTATAGATTCTTAAGTTTAGTGATACATGTACGAAAATCCTAAAGGTTAGAAAACAAAACTCCTTTTAATCCTACAACCTTAGTGACACCTAAGGACAAAAATTAAGGACTGAGTCCTAGAAAACATAGACTTAGGATGCATGCTCCCTATAGGATAGAAACATCAAAATATAGAAAACTTAGTGACACATTTTCCTAGGTTTAGTGTTCCTTAACTCACATGTACATGTTCTATAAATGCAATTATTAAATTTCTTGTTAGCTATATTTAATTTTCTGTTAGTTATATTTTTGTTAGTTACCTGCACTTCTTTTCTGAACGGCATCTACGCTCATATATATATTTCTCTGTTGTCTTTTCTTGCGAGGTACATTGGAGCTTAATGATCGGGAACTGAACG